ACTACAACTAATTGTTACCTTTAAAAATGGTTAAATTATGTGGTTTTGCAATTATTTATCTCTTGATTTTAAACTGATTTCAGTATGATAGTGTGTTTTGCTATTAAATTTATTTATCTATACTGAGGAGTGCAATTAAAAATGAGCTGCCTAACTTTTTGCTGCTTGTTTTTTAAATTAGAAATATACAGTTGTGACAGTCCTCTTTTCTGGAGGATCTGGAATGTGAGATTAGAGCTGGTTATTGAAAACTGAACTACTGTTCTAACACTAGGGTAAGTGGAACAGGCATAGATGCAATCACTGAGGGGGAAACTGATGGACATATCTCCACTCCTCAACTTTACTGTTCCATTGATGTGTTTCTAATACAAGTTGAACCTAGGGATGTGAAAGGTTAACTGGTACGCATCACCCTTAATAAATGATGCTTAGCAAGTTCCAGTTAACTGGTGAGGACTGGAGCATCTCTCCACCTGCCGTGGGGGCTGCTACAGCTCTGCAGTCCTGAAGGTACCAGACGAGAGGTTCAACCTGTAAGACTAAAAGCAATGCATTTCACTCCTGGTCCCTCTTTCCTTATGTGGGTAGAAAAAGCTAAATTCTAGGTTGGGGGAGGACCAACTCAGCTATTTACCTCCAGTTGTGATGAAAATGATTTCTTTTTTTTTAAAGGTAGAAGAAAATAGTTCGTTTTTTTTAATTAGAAAAAGTATCAGTCAGTTAAAAAAAACATTCAATTAAGTAATTATGAATTTATTTTAAAATGCTTATGATCTCTCTGTGAATTCAACCATAATGTGCATAAAGAAACAAGAGGTCAGAAGCAGATGTATATGCCTTATTTATTACTTACAGTGTAAGTGTAACCTTGGGTGGGCTAGACTTCAGTTGCATAAGATCCTGATGATGTCATCACAGCTGAAGGTAGATAGCTGAGTTCTCTTCCAACATGTGAATACATTTACTTACATGAGCCGTCCCATTTACTTCAGTGGGCTGTTTGCATGAATACATTTATACACATGCCTAAGAGTTCACAGGATTGGGTTTAAATGATTGTTTCCTGAAGAGGATCCAGTTAACTGGTTATTGGTTTAAACTTCAAGTAGAAAACACTGTAGTTATCATCTGGCTTATAAATATTTTTCAGGTTCTTGAAACTTGATCAGTAAAATAGCTAACTTCAAGAACAAAATACATGAAATTATAATATTAAATATGTTTTAGGGAAAAGAAGAATTCATTTCCTCAAGACTGAAGGCTAAAGGTCTGGACATGATAGATAGGACAGGTTAGTGATCTCATTGTTTTTACAGTTTAAATGCTTTCTGAACTTGGAAGGTTTTGGTTAGCTTTAACTAAGTTTTCATAAGATGAGTTATTTTTAAAGACCGCTTAAACTAAGAGCACATCCTGTCACTGCCTCCTAGACTGCAGTAATGCCAGTCCAGTTCTGTGGCACAAAGCAGAGTTTGTCAGCGTTTGAAAGGCTGTGCAGGGGTGTGGTAGATGACTCATCTCTACAGTAGCTCTTTGAAAGGTGATGTCTGTGGGGTCAGAGGATCTGCTGTTGCATATTTCCTCATGTTCTCTACCACTCCTAGAGGTGGGGTGCGTTAGGATCTGCATTAGCTTCAGTGTAACCAGTCCATAACGATTCTGTGTTATGGGGAAGATTTCTTTTTCCCTGTTGCACAACAACCCACTAATCTAATTGATCTGAGTATTGGAGAGTCCTGAGTGCATTTGATGCTTGGGTTGATGTTTATGTTAATATAGGAACAGGTTATCAGACTCCCAGGTTTATACAATTCATATAATACCTTGGAGTTATGAACTGACCAGGCAGCCACGCATTAGAATGGGAAGTACTCAGTCAAGAAATGAGACCCTCAAAAAGGGTAAAGAACAGTGCTGTGTTTAAACATCAACTACTAAAAAAGGGGAAAGTTTAAAAATTGGCAAGGTAACTCCTTTATTGTACTTGTTTTCATTTAAATTAAGATGGTTAAAAGCAGCATATTTCTTCTGCATATAAAGTTTCAAAGTCAATGTTCAACTGTAAATTTTTAAAAGAACAATCATGACATTTTAGGCCAATAGACTCATAAATACAAGGAGATACTATCGTGGTGCTACTAAAATTCTCACAGTGAGGTTCACCCTCACTGGCCTATGTCTTTGGCACTAATGAAGTGAATGGTAGAATTTCTACTAGATGGCTAGTAAATTTGGCACCTCAGAACATGTAAATATTGGTGTAGGATACTTAGCAGGAAACAGAATTGCAGTATTAAATCCTAGCATTTGAAATGCCTACTTAACCATTGCCAAGTTTTCCTCCTAGCTTGTGTGGACCATGCTGCCTGCGGGGCTTCCTCCGCTTTGGCTTCACCTGCGAGGGAGGTGGACAGCGCACAAAGAGACCTCTTTGGTGTGGCTCCTGCCCTGCACCAAGGGCTTTTCCATGCTGTGCCTGTTGATAGTGTGAGCTGTGGCTGGGCGGGCTTTTCTCTCCTCCTTGCAGCGCTCCAAGCTCGCCTCAGCTCCTCCAGTAGTGGAGCACTGTGCATTCAGGGACGGCCTGTTACAGTGAGCACTGGCTGAACTGAGCCAGGAGCCTCCCTTGCCCCTGCTTTTTTCCCCTGGTATTGCAATGTCACTGGGGGAAAATCTTTCACTCTCGCCTACCTTCCCCCCCCAGCCTGTTGACGCTGATGTGATGCCATCATTCTGTCGTCCAGCAGGAAACTTGAGAGAGCGAGAGTGTGGCTTCATATTGTGGAGTTTGTCAGTAATAAAAGGCAGTTTTGAACAGCTCGTTTTCATTTTTTAAAATTAGATTTAAATACAATACTTTATTATGGATGCCCATGTCAGAGGCCTATATATTCTTAGCTTTACATTTATGTAACTACATGTGGTACAGGATATGTCATAGTGACTAAATAGAAAAGCTCTCAACACAAGTAAATAAGTTTTCTTTCTATTCAAGGTTATGTTTAAGTTACAAGAGATACAGTCTAATAATAGCAGCCTCATATTTCTAACTTATTACAGTAATGCCTAGAGGCCTTTGATCAGATCCCCATGGTGTTGTATAGACACCGTGACAGGCAGTCCCTCCCCCAAAAAGTTTTGAATCTAAATAGACAAAGCGTTGGAGAAAGGGACTAAGGATGTTAAATTGTGGTTAATTTACTAGTCGAGTAGTCAATGGAATTTCCATCGACTAGTTGATAGGCACTTCCGCATTCCTCCTTTGAAATGTACAAGAGCTTGCTGGGGCTCTTGTACATTTCAAAGAAGGAGTGCAGAACACTGCATGCAGCCTGGGGCCAGCAGGAAATTCTGCTGACTCTGGGCTGCATGTGGGTGTGCCATCTTTGAAATGTACAAGAGTCCCCAGTGGGGGCTCTTGCGCATTTCAAAGAAGACGTGCACTCATGGAGCCCAGAATACCCTGCTGACCCTAGGCTCCATGTTGCGCTGCCTATTTGAAATGCCATGTGGAGCCTGGGATCAGCTGGGGACTCCCCGGCAGATCCTGGGTTCCATGGAAATGCCGCATGGAATCCAGGATCAGCTGGGGAGTCCCCAGCTGACCCTGGGCTCCAGGTGGTGCTGCTGCTTTGAAACGCCACATCGGCGTTTCAAAGGGGCAGCACCGCATAGCTGAGCTGGGCTCAACTGTGCGGTGCAGCCCTTTGAAGTACCCCCACTCCACCCGCCCTTTGCTGCTTCTCTCTGATAGAGGCAGTAAGGGGAGGGAATCAACTAGTTGACTAGTCTTTAGCATCTTTAAATGGTACTATTACATTAAATTGAGGCACAGCAAAACTAAGTGATTGGCACCAAGTCACACAGGAATTCTGTCATAGATTGCCCCAGTTTTGTATATTAATCACAAGAAAACCTTGATGTGTTTGTTTAAAATTTATTTTCAGGTCAAAAGGTAACATTGAATGCAGAAGAAATGGCAGATTTTTACAAGGACTTTTTAAGTAAAAATTTTAAAAAGCACATGTGTTATAACAGGTAGGTGTGTGCACTTTGTTGAATAATACACGTAATTCATTTAAGTTAAAGGGACACTATCAACTTAGATCACTCTTCTGTCTGAAACTTTTTGTCTGTTGTTAGTAGTACCACCAAGGTCGGTTATTACTGAAAGAGAGAAACAAAATTAAGGGAAAATATATGTTTTCTACTTTATACATGAAGTGCTGTCACATTCAGTCACTTTGAGTATTTCCACTATTTATGGATAGATCGAGCTCCCTTGGAAATTAATCAGTCTCTCCATGGACTTAAATGGAAGCTGGATCTGTCCTCAGTCAGTCTCCTTTTTACTGTGTGGGTCTTTCACACAGCAATGGGATTAAAAATTAGATTAGGGAAACATGATTGTAAAACAACTTAACTTTTTGAAAATTGAGTTGACTACTAGTTGAATGTGTCCCTTCTAAACACTGGATTAGACAGTGACAATCTGTGAATGATTTGCTCTCAATAAAAAATTGTCATGTAAACTAAATATTAATCATTTGTACTGTTTTTTTAGATTTGACCATGTTTTTCTATAAGATTACCAACTTAAATTGATCAGTTTTGTTTTATATGGGGAAGTACTAGAAGTTGTACTAGGTTTTTCATTTGCTGTATCTGTACACTGTCCAAGATCGTTCCTTAGAGCAGTGGTTTTCAAACTACTGGTTGCCACCCAGCACAGGGTCATGAACTATGAGGAACTCGGTCTCGTTACTGCAGGTGATCAGTGGGGGTGCTAAGGCAGGCTATCTGCTTGTTCTGGTGCTGCAGACTGCGCTGCGCCCCAGAAGAAGCAAGCAGCAGGCTTGGCTCCTAGATGGAAGAGCAGGGAGGAGAAGAGGGCACAAAGCTTCATGCATTGCCCCTGCCCCTTCCTCGAACAGTAATTCCACACTCTTATTATCTGGGAACCTGCTTCTGCGGCACAGTATGGTCTGCTAAGGAAGCCTGCCTTAGGACCCCTGCTGTACCACTGACCATGAGCCACTCAAGATAAGCCCTTTGTGCCCCAAAGCTTCCTCCTGCACCCCAAAGCTCTCCTCCTCAGCCCCACCCCAGAGATCACACTGTAGTCAAATTATGTTGGGGTACAGGCATCAGCATTTTTCCTCAACTGGGTCATGAGAAAAAAAGTTTGAAAATCAGTGCCTTGGAGAGATACTTAGCATCTTTACTTATGCATGCAGCATCTCTTTCTCATCTATTGGAATTCAATAATATTCAAAGCAAAGTGTTAAGATTTGCTACAAGAACTACACTTTACTGCTACAACTTTCTAATCTTTGAACATTACATATTTACTGTGAATTCTAGTTTGGAGTTGTATGCAGGGATGTGAATGGTTAACTGGTAAGCCTCATCCTTAATGAGTGAGGCTTACTGGTACTGATTAACCATTGGAGGCTAGACCAGCTCCCTGCCTGCCATGGGTAGGGGGCCGCTCCAGCCATGTGGGGCCCACCAACCACACCTTGAATCATTTAACCAGTTAAATGTGTACATGTACACATTAACATCCCTAAGCTATACAAGGAGGACAGTTCTTTCTGACTGCTTCCCTTACCTTAGCTTGCATAACTTTAAAGATAATAGGTATAAATTTGGCTATGAAAGTCATTCAGCCTCTTTAACTCTAGTAGAGTATTAAACTGAGTGCCTAGAACCATGCATTCCACAGATTGCTTAAAAGAAGTCACGTGTTGTGTAATCAGTATACTTTAATATTAGTATTTACAGATTTTCATAGGCAAATTAGCTGTAATTAGGGAAAGCAATGTTGCAAGGAAAGAAAAGGTAAGTAATACATGAATTGTCACGTGTCAATTCCTATAGGATATTTAATGCCATAATTTGCCTCTTTCCCAATCTGTCTTTTGTATTTGTTTTTCTGGTGCTGGAATCTAGAGAGTGGTACAAACGTAACTTTATTACTACGTTCCTCATGGGACAAGTGGCCTTTAAGAGGGTTTGGAAGAAGCTTGGCTGGAAAAAGATGAAAGTTGGAAATTAAGGCGCATCACATTCTATAGAATAAAACTACACAATACAGCCTATTGGACTGATACACTGTGGTCACATTCAGACTCCGAATTGCTGCCATAGCAACTACTTTGATCTGTTTACTTTGTATATCAAAATAGCTGCTGATTTTGACTGTGTTACAATAACATCAGAACATCCGAAAAACTAGATTGGCAATTTACAACAGCATGAGGGCTGCACATAACTTACGTAAAAAGGAACGGATTACAGCCACTGTCATTTTTAATGTTGAGGTACAACCCATAGAAACTGAATATCAGAGTCCAACCCATAAAGATCAACATACCATGCTTCATCTTGTTCCACGTTCTGTAGTCTCCGTGGGCCATATCAGTTTATAAAAGATAGAAGTGGCCATTGTCTGCACTGGTTACATGGGCTACAATTTTTCTACCATCATGTAACCATCATAGAGGTAAGTGCAATTTGAACGGGTTCATTAAGTTTAACTTAGATTTTTAAACCTTATTTAGACTAGAATCCCTTTGTGACACTGTAAATATGATAGATTCATTTATAAGGGTAATGAATCTTTCTAATTAATCTGTCCTTGTGAAAACAGAAACTTGTTTAAGTGATTTGTCTCAGCTGTTGGAACTCAGATGAATAAATTCAAGATTTTTTTTAGTTTTAAATAAAATAAGCATTGTCAGTCATTTAGCAGCTCCGATAGAAAAGGAGATGGATAGAGAGGGTGATAAATGCTTTGTAAAAGTCAATGTTTGCCTTTCAATTATCTTGAAAACACTTGCTGCTCTCACCAGGTTCCTTGAGCACCCAAAAGTCTTCCTAGCATCAGAGGGAATTGCGTGTTTAAGGAATGCTATCTCCTTGATCATGTGTGCTGTTTAAATTAATGTTTATAATTTAATTGTACCATTTTATGTATTGTTTAAAAGAAATGACCTTGCTCTGAGAGTGTTCCCTACTCATTAATGAAGTTGAATGGATGTGTTTGCTTTGGTACCTGATAAATGGATTCTTCTGAATGAAATGTCCATGGGCAAATGTTTGAATTCCAGAGGTAATATATTTGTTGCAGTAAAGAGTAGTAGAACTGCTCATATTTGGTGAAAAATAATGTATACTTCATTCTTGGATTTGAAAAATCCACAGTAAATACATGACGTTCTCAGGGCTTGCCAAACCTTCTACTATTCTCTCATCCTGCCAAGTAGTCCCTAGTAGTTAGGCACCACAGTCTACCAGTTTGCAGCTCAGTTATATGGTTGCTGCATGCTTGGCATCAGCAGAGGTAGCAGTCCTCCTCAGATGGCCCGTATCTCTATTAAAATAATCAGAATACTATATTTTTACTGCATATACTTCCCCCAAAACTCTAGTTGGGAATGGGCACCAACACAATATTTTCTTTGTATATGTACACTCCCTCCAGCCCTGCAAAAGTTACTGTGTGAGATTGGCACGTTTGGAGTTCTACGGGTTTAGGGGATGGATCTGGGGAAGTGTGGAAGATGGCTCAGGGACATTTCTATGGAACATCATCTAGCAAGTTTGTATGATGTCATGCCTCCTTAAAGGAAGTGTAAAGGCCAAGCCCTAATATCTCAACCCTCTAGAGATGTTTTGAGATCCACAGAATAGTCTTGCAGTATTCAGGGCATCCATGAATTTGCTCATGCAAGTAAATTAAAAATGCAGCCTTTTTATAACTGTCTGCTAAGTTTTTTTTACACATTCCATTTGTAGTTCTTGCATTGACTCATTAATAATGGCCTCATAATTTGGTCTAATTATGTCAGGGCACCCACATAAAGGCTAATGAAGTTAATGGTTTGTTGGCTAAATTATCTGTTAATTTCCACGTTGTGAATCTGAGCCTTGGAGCAGCATGTTTCAGTAATACTTCAATCTAACTTAAATCCATGAGAAAATTTTGCATGTAAATAAATACTCAGATGATCTCTCCTGCTTTGGACTTTTTTTTTTTAATTTCTGTCAAAACTAAAGCTATCTCGACTCTCTTGTTCACTCTTTTTGCTTTTTGTAATACTGTTACATCTTTGGACATTGGCTATGATAGTTATTGAATAGTATTTTAGGTTTAGAACTGGTCCTCCTGTATATTATAGTATTTTTTGTTATGTCTTATCCTTTTCAGAATATTTAACTTGAAATAAAGCATTAGATATGTATATACTCTTTTCATTAATTCATAGTTGCAGTATATTCTTCTACAATCCTAGGTTTGGGTAGCCTTCATATTTTGTTGAATTTTCAAGACCCCTGGAGGTTCCTGGAGGGGGTGGAGGGAGCACAGCCCCAATAAAAGAAGTGTGTTCACATTTAGCAGGGCGAGGGAAAGGGGGTATAAACATTTTTGTTGAAAATCAAAGTACAAGCCTGATAGAAAAGTACTTTAAAATAGCAGGCGTTCTCTGCTTCCCCTCCTATACTGAGACATATTTTTATATAGTGCGTGAATCTGTTGGTCTGTCCATATTTACCTCTCTTACTTGCTTTATGGAGAAATGTCAGTCTCCTCTGGCAACTGCAAAAGGGACTACATGGAATATCTATAATTTTGGGGCCCAGCATTACTACTACATTGACCCTAATGCCTCCATGTATTGGGATTAAGATTATGTCCAAGATATTTACAAGGCAGCATTTTCCAGCTGTTCTTCAGTTTTTCTATAGAACTCTCTCTCATTTGGTATATTAGCTGTTCTGTTTCATACTGAGCAGGGAGGGAGACATCACTCGTGGGATTTCCTGGTGACTTCAACAGAACTGCTCTTATAGAGATGTTTAACTTTAAGCATGCAAGGGTATGTCTAGACTGCACCCCTCTGCTGGCAGAGGGATGCAGATTAGGAAGGTCAAAATTGCTAATGAAGTGGGGATTTAAATATACTGCACTTAATTAGCATAAAATGGCCGCCACTTTTTTTTGGCACTGAGCTTTGTCGGAGAAAAGCAGCAGTCTAGAGGCTGATCTGTTGCTAAAGAAAGCCTTTTCTGATAGATCCTGTATACCTCCTGTATATCTCGTTTTATTTAAATCCCCACTTTGTTAGTAATTTCAACCTGCCTAATCTGCATCCCTCTGCAGGCAGAGGAATGCAGTCTAGACACACCCCAAGTGTTTGTAAGATTGGTGGCTTAGACATTTCACCTTTCCCTATTCACTACTCTTGGTTTGATCAGGTGAGATGCTTTTGCTTAGCCTTTTCTGAGGGTGGAAAACAAAAGTCAGTATATTCAAAAGTGGCTTCTGATTTTTGAATCTCAGGTTTTTTTGCATGGGGGAGTGGTGTTTCAAAACCTGAAACACCTTGATTGTGTCTTTCAAAGTTTGAGAGTATCTTTCTGCAATTCTCTTGACTAAAGCGGAGATGCCAGCTGTGTAGCATCTTTCAAGTGAGGCACCTAAAGCCAGTGCCCACTTTGAAAATGCTCCCAGTGACATTCAGTGACTCCCTCTTTGGCTCACCAGAGCCCAACCTTAATGATGGACACAATTAAGAAGTAGGTGATGGAATGCTAAAGCCCCATTTGTGCAATGAGCTCCACCCAGGAAGACCTAAACTCATGTGCAGCTCCATTTCCTTCTGTAAGGTTCTGCCTAGAGGGAGCGACCTGTTTGTACAGAGCTCATTGCAGGATTGAAGCGGTAGGCTGTTAAATTGTAAGATATTAATTTAGACAATCAAAAAAATCTACCATGAAATATGTTAAAAATAAAGCCTGTAAAATTTTCTTATTGCCAAATTTACGTTAATTTAGGGAGACCGTGTTATGAGTACCCAGAGGTTATATCATGTTGCCTGTATTAAATGCACTTGGATTTTTTTTCTACAGGAAAGTCACAGTTATGCCTACTGTGTTCAGATATTACTAATAATCATCTGTGTATCAAATGCCCCTGAAAGGAATATGGAGCTTCCATTGTCTGTCTGAAAATAAAATTCTTGTGTCTATAAAAGACTATTATTAAAGCATCAGAAGCAGGTAAAAGATTAAAGAGTAACTTCTTAGTACATCAGCTATCACTATGGGGAGTAATGCAGAGGAGCTATATTACCAACTTCATATTAAACTAAACCAATCCTATCAAAAATAAATAGAATACATTTTTCATATTTCACACAGCATCATCAAGTACTATTTAATCTTTCTCTCCGCCACAAGGATCTAATACAGCAACACTATTTTGGTAATATTAAAATGGTTAATAACTTAAGTGATTTATATGGTTATGTTCCAACAGTTTTTGTATTTCCTGCTATTTGCTAAACCTCTCTAGTGTTGCCTATTTCAGTAGAATAGAAGAGGAGGATGTGTCAAAAAGGAAAGAGAGATTAAAGGCTCCTTTTGAAGGTTTGCTGTGATTGTAGCTCCCTGGTGGTTAATGAAAAAAGATTAATAAATCTCAAAACTTTATCCAAGAAATCTTGAAATAAAACTCCTGAAATCTAATTGAGCATTGTCATCTCTTTTTGTGATATTTTAAGTACCCCCCCCAAAAAAAAACACCACCCAAAAACCCTAGCACAAAAGTGAACAGTTGTGAATTTCAAACCCACTAAATGGATCATAACATGTATATCATAAGAGAGGATGTTTCATTAAGCAGCAATAAGTGACATCTATTTAAACATTCTTCCTAACTGAGGGGCAAATCCTCTATTATGTAACAACGAGAATTTACACCTGCAGAGGCTTTGCCCAGAGATTTGTATTTTCCCTGTCAGTTTCTGAAGTATACTGTCAGATTATTAATTGCATCTCCATGTTAAAACACTTGGTTGAAAAGCTTTAAATCTGCTATTGAGATAAAGGCCTCTCCCTGAATGATTTGTCACATGAAGAATGTTGTGTAATGCACATTGTCAATTTTGGAACATTTTAAGTTGATTTCTGTTGTTTCCGTTCTAGAGTTTTTTGAATAATTGTTGGATTTGTATGTGTGTGTATATATAAAAGTGGGGGTTACATGACCATTCGATTACACTATATTTAACATCCCTATTTTAAAATAAATTCCTCAGGTGCTATGTTCCAATACTCATTACACTTAGTTTATCTGTCACTCTCATTTTAGGGGCCTTTAGCTTGCGTGGATTACACGATCCTAGAGTAACTCTCCTAGGTGGAGGCCATCCACTATTCCAGCCAGCTGAGTTGTTTGTATGTTTTAATTACATTTCCAGAAGTGAGAACAAGCTTTTTTCTTTCCCCAGTGCTTTGTCTGCTTCAGTTACAGGAAGGGCAGCGTGCAGTAGTCAGATCTCAGACTCACTGCTTGATTGTTTATATATGGCAATAGGGCTGGGAAGAGTCAAAGAATCTGCCCCTGGGAGAAACTGACTGTAGAACAACCAGCAGATAAAGGGCACTAGCTGCCTCAGCACAGGAAATTTTCCCTTGGAGCTCAGGAGGTTTTGTATTGTTTCTATAAAACCAGCAGCCCCAGAGGATTATTGTTTGCTGGTTTGAGCTCATAAGGATTACAGTCATTACCCAACCACTAGTCAGCACCTTGAACTTAATTTAACATATAATTAAGAATTATATTCTAACCTTTAGTTCCATTATATGCTTCTGAGGAAATTAGAAAAGCATTTGCAGTTATTTGCAGCATGAATTTCTTAAAAGCCCCATGTATTACATTTTATAACAAAAAGGAAGAGGGTAAGTCAAATTAAATAGTGCCCAGAACATTTAATTCTAATCCTGGATTAGCTCACTCTCAATTAAGAGAATAAAAAAGAATGTGATCCTTTCTTTATGGATATAAATGCATATGTTCCTCCCATGAGGGATGAATTACAGATTTTGCAGTCACAATTTCACATGGTAAAATAAAATGGGGGGAGAGAGGGAAAAGGATGTTAAATTACTACACAAAAGGGCCTGAAGGTTAGAAACCATTATTCTTCAGTCTGGTTTTTGAATGAGGAGAGTTTGCAAACATATGGCCATGGTGTACCACTGGGCTCAAAGTTATAAAGTGGACACCACCTCTTCTAGCTGTGTTGGGTAGTACAAGACAGGTGCCTAACTCATTCTGACAGGAAATTCTTTTAAGCGGCTAAGATGCCTGACTGTCGTGGCAGATGCCTGCTTGAAGGTCACTGAACAGAGCTAGGCACTTCGCTGCAACCCAAACTTAAGTGTGTGTCCCTTAGAGAGTAGTAGGGCTGGTAGTCAAAAGAGAGAGCCTGATACGCGAAGCCTGGTAACAACTAACAGGGCTTTGTGCACAGTGATCTGCCTAAAATGTTCTAAACACTGGGCTACAGGATTTTCTGAGGTGTGGTTACCTCATCTCCACTTTAACTGAAGAACTAAATATTAATTGGGCTTCCAAAAGTCAGAACTATTTTGTAGTGACTATTCCAATGACTAGGACATTCATCTGGAAGGTGTCAGATCCTTGCTCCTCACGGGATTAGTAAACAGATCCCCTGGCCTATACCATAGCTGCCTCCTGGAAATCAAAGCTTATGCAAGTAGCTTTGAGAAAGAGAGAAGAGAAGTGAAGGATAGGGGTTCTGGCAAAGAACAAAAAGGATGGTGTTGTAAGAAAGGAGGTCACAAGGAAAACCTGCCATTCTCATGAGTTAAATCAGAGCTAGATTTTATTTATTCTGTATTGGGTATGTGTGGGTACTTCCTTTTTCCTAAAGCTGTTTGTGGTTTCAGGTTTAACTTGTGGGATGTTTTTGTTTGTTTACTCTTGTTCTAAAAGGATGCTTTCTGCCATTGTTCTTAATGGGTTGAAAGTTAGTCTGCCATCAATGAAGATGGTATCCTGTGTTCTATGAGGTAGAAAGCTATCAAGATGTTGGAAAGAAGATGATATAGGGCAGTGGTCTCCAACCATTTTAACCACAAGATCACTTTTTCAATTTAAGTGCAATGTAAGAGCTACCTCAAACCCACATACCTCTGCCCC